TTGATTTTGTATGAGGTTGGCATTGCGAGAATCGGTCCTGGTCCAGCGCAGTTGCGTTGCTGGTGCGGAGATGTCGTCAGCCTAACACTGATCAGATCAACCGGGGATTCAATCGGTGTTTGGTTATGATAATTGACGACGTAACTTACTTTAGTCATCGTTGGAGAGTTCGGGGAAGTGGCACTGTCGTTGCCTGATGTCCTGTGGTGGCCGGCGTCCCCGAGAGTTAGCGTGACTATGGTATGTGCGCATTGTCACGCTGTTTGCCTTTGAATTTTTTTGAATATTTTTGAATATTATTTTATTGAATATTTCCTTTGAATTGCGATTCATTTGTATGGTGATGTGCCCACCACCCTCAAACTTGCACGTTGAACAGGCCTTTGGCAAAACACAGATAGGACTGCACACCAATCTGATATATAGTTCAGCTTCTGGGGCGCACCGACATGTGTCCACATTGATATGTGTGTATACATTTATGGGTACATTTACGTATGTATACGGTATGGCCTATACATGCTGCTAGAGAGTTGTATGTGCATGAACATACCATACGTGCTGCATGCATTCGTTGTTCCCCAACATAGACAAACGGTGACGTACATCTATTTGGTTGTGTGGCACAATACATCACATATAAGGTAGAGGTGGACGCCCTTGAGCTAAGCATCTCCTGTTATTTGCACCAGCTGTTGCTCCGGCATTCCTGTCAGCGCAATCTGGTCAGATCAATGATGTGCCACAGGCACAGTAGGTTAGTTCGTCCTGGAAACAACCCAGTTACAACACCAATGTGGTGCAAAAAAGCGATAATTGGCCATCACTGTATTAATGCATTGCTTAAGCGGACAAAAATATCTGATATTGACACCTGACCATTCCTCCGCTTCTACGGTAGTCTGGATGATCGCATCATTGGAAGCCCAAGACGCCTTGTTCACTTTGCATGAGCGGCGTCTTTGCTTTGCTGCAGTCCCCTTCTACTGCCAAGCGCCCTTCCTTGACACCCCCGCCAAAGTCACCGGAGACAGCGGGGCCACCAGCATCGCCACGAGTCTCGGTAGGGGCCTCAGGTCATCGGCGTAATGATGACGTCATCAATTCCACTAATCTCCTGAATTCGTGAATTAATTAAGTATTAACAATTACTTGTGAATTAATCATTTCATAATTAATTCATTCACTAAATCAATAATTAATTCATTAGTTCAGCCTTATAAGGTAGTCAACCCAGCTACCTCAGTCCCAAGCCCCAATCCATTCGGCGGAGTTTGGATGGACTTGCCAATGATTGTGCCGCCAGAGCCCACAACGGTGCTGAGATAAGGCAATGAAAATTTCGGCAGTCGAAACTGGTATCACGTTAAAGAAAGAGCCAAAAAGCACGCAAAAAAATGGGTGAAGATAGTGCTTATGTCAACATTTACCATGCATTTCACGGAATGATCACGACATGTTGTTGCACTGCACAACAGAACAGCATTCGGTTCAGTTCAAGTAAAGGTTGAAGATTGTTCATAAATTGGATGCGCTGCACATTGTGCAAGTTCCAATGCCCCGCCAGAAACACGTTGTCTGGTGCGCAGACAATCACCCCTTTAACTGCTTGTTCAATTGCAGCAGCACCGGGAGCAGATTGCCCAGCACCGTGTTTTCCTGATTCCCAATTAGTATTCTTCTTGGTATTAGTAGTCTTCTTGCAACGCACAGACACAGCCCCCGCAAAAGCATACGCGTGCATTGACATCCCCATGGCTCTCCTTTGCTGCAGTGCATCAGCAAAACGAACATCGCCGCCAGGCAGAGCGCACTGAAAAAAATATATTTCATTTGTTTCACAATCCACTAAATTAGTATAATTTGTTGAATCAATTTCTCTTGGCTCTTGATGAGCCCTCGCTGCCTGCCGTGTCCATATGGTCACTGCCAAAAAGCGGCCGGCTTAGATGCATGTATGTAACAATTGGCGCATTTTTTTATGCCACTTTTCACAGCGTTTTGTGGCGAGCGTTGCACCTGTGCTGACCTGTGTTGGCATTCCTTCAGGTCGTCGAAAATAACTCACAGATGCAGGAGGAGCTCGATGAGGCAAGTCCAAACGGGGAAGGCCTGACAAGCCTGGGCTCTTGCCAAGAACATTCCCTGCTGCACAATTACACTTTTTCAGCCATGTGTTTGGAAGTCCGTGTTTGTGTCGCATGTCGCCTGTGGCTGTGCGATCAACGGCATAAAACGCGCACTGTCTGGAATGGCGTCAACCTCAAAGTCAAAGCACCCGATTGCTCCACACATCGTGTGTCGGCACGTAGAGGATACCAAATCACCCAGCTGCCCTGCTGAACAAGCTGGCGCCAGAAAACGTGCTTGAGATGACACGATTCTGCCCCAATTTGGCATAGCTTAAACTCATGCTTGGAATACACGATTGGCGCCACCGAACACAATCAGATACTTTGCAAACAGGCAAGCGTTCACTTGATATCACACCACCTACGCTTATCACGGGTTTAACCTCCACTAGAGTCCTGATGCCAACACATGAGTACAATGGACTATGGCGTGTTGATCAACCTGCCAATATCCTTTATCCGTTGTCCACCATTGCCCTTTACCCATTATACATTCCGACTCCATTACACAGGTTTCTGAAATACGTTCGTCCACGTTGTCACAGGAGCTGTGGAAAGCGGCCCGCAACGGCGACTTGGAGGCCGTGAAGGAGGCCCTGCGGAAGGGCGCCACGGCGTCCTCCAGAATGGGCCAATTCGAGACCACGCCCCTCATGGAGGCCTCGGCCGCCGGCCACCTGCCGGTGGTGGAGGAGCTGCTCACCGCCAACCCGGACATCGACGGGACCAACGCCTGGGGCGGCACGGCCCTCTTCCTGGCCTCGCAGCACGGCCACGCCGACGTGGTGGAGACCCTGTCGGAAGTGGGTGCTGACGTGGATCGAGCAAGCAACGCGGGGGTCACACCATTGAGCATTGCAGCCGAGGGGGGGCACGGGAATGTGGTGGGCATTTTGCTTGGGGTGGATGCGGATCCCAATTTGGCGAGGAATGACGGCCACACGCCGTTGCACCTAGCTTCCCTGACCATTGGCGCCGACAGCGTTGGCATTGTGGAGGCCTTGTTGGGTGCGGGGGCTGAGGTGGATGTCAGAGGGGTGAATGGCAGGACGCCGCTGATGTGGGGCGCTTACTACGGGAATGCTGGAACGCTGGAGGCGCTCATACAGGCGGGGGCGGACAGGAGGGTTAGGGATGGGGGCGGGAGGAGCGCCAAGGGGCTGATTTGCTTGTGCGTGAACGACGAGGGGCTGGAGGGGGTGCTGCAGTGCCCGGAGGGTGGGTGCGAGCTGCCGGGCACGGCGCCGGCCATACGCGCCCTGCTGCAGTGACGCTTGGCTCTGAACCTGCCCCGGCAAGGGAATGTCTGTTCGCGGAGTGGTTGTCCGTGTTGGGAACCGTCAACTTTTCAGAAATCGTGCGCCGGCAATGGAGTTTGGATGGGACTCGGAAATCGTGCAACCTTGGGTAGCGGTGCATTTTGATTCAATTGTGACCGCCGTTGCGCTGCTTTGGGCAGCTTGTCCATTTTGGTTTTTGCTGTCTCCGTGACACGTGCCTTCATCGCTTCTTGTCGTCCTGACAAGAAAGAACAATGTTTTGGGACATTCTAGGCCTTACTCACCCTCCCTGCGCTTCCTTTGAGGAGACAGCGGGAATTCGTGTCTTCATCACCTCCTTTCTATCTCGTGTAATGCTTGTTGGGCTCACTGACGCTTGGGATGTGACCATGGCGATTCTGAGGCGGCTTCGCCCGTGGTCAATCGACTCTTTACTTTAAAGGATCATAAACAAACACGTTTCAAAGTCGGGCACCAGTGCAGCATCAGACGCCCCTGCTGTGCACGCGACAAAACGCTGATTCAATGTCACACCCTTGCATTGTGCAGGGTGCCCGATATCGCCACACTGGCAAAAAGACTTCATCATTTATAGTCTTGACAAATGTGAACAAAATGCAATTCAACCCAATTTCCCCACCCCCAATCCCCGTCCCGGGATTTCCACCCACGCACGGCTGCATGGGCATTCGACCAGACTACATTCAATAGCACAAACGTAACTGAAGCCGGATCCATGTGCCCCGCTGAGTGAAATCCGTGAACTTGAAAAGACAAGACGAACGGTCGCAGCAACGCCTGGTTCACATGCAACGGTCTCCGGCAACGCAAGCCCATCGAATAACGCACACCATCGACAAACGTGGGCCGCGCCGCGTCCAGCCAGCCTTAATCTCGGCAGAAGTGCGCCGCCATCGCATCACTCGTTCAACTGCGTGTCCTTCATTGCGCTCCTCCGGGAACCGCGTCCCCGCGCATCTCAAACCCAACGGCATCCGTTGCCAACACGCGCACACAAGACCCACGGCCTCCCGGGGGCTTTGCACACACGGCAAACATCTTGCTGGGGTCGCCACGAGGCACAAGGATGTCACCAGCCAGCAAGCCACGCAAGGAGCTGCCCTCACAGCAGCTGCCGTTTCTGCAGAAAGCCATGACGCGGCGCATTGCAGGATGGCTGGGTAGCTCCTTGCGGAAGCCGCCTTGCGCCCAGGCCACCCACAAGAGCGGGGGAACACAGCCACCGGCGAGCCTTCGTGGAAGCCGGGAACCTGCAGCTGTCCTCTTCGGTTGGGGCGCCAGCCACTCGCCCCCCAGCGCAGCGCCATGGCCCCGCCCCCTTGCCCGGGCAAAACACACGGAAAACAGGCCCACCGAATGAATGGAAGGGAACAAGGCGAAGAACAAATCACACGGCGGTAAAAACAGAGAAAACGTTTGAAACTTGACGCCAGTGGGCGCGCCGGGGCGAGCTGAATTGGCCGCCTAGCCCAGGTGCTCCGGGCCCAGGGCCAGGGCCAGGGGGCCCAGCCGCTTTGGGCCACCCGGTCCAGCCGCCTGGGGCCCCTGGTCCAGCCTCCCCAGGCTCCTAGTCCGCCAGCAGCAGGGTGCGTATTCGGCTCTCCGTGCCCTCCACGTCGCACCCCCCCGCCGGGCACTGCGGCGCGTCCAGCCGGTCCACGTCCAGCCTGCAGTCGCAGATCAGGTCCACCGCCGTGCCGCCCACCCCGTTCTGCGCCCCTACACCCGCCCCCTCCCCCACCAGTATCCTCGCGGCCCCCAGGTTGCCAAAGTACGCCGCGAACATCAGCGGCGTGTTCCCCTCATTGTCGACCGCGTTCACGTTCCCCCCGCGCCTCACCAGCAGCAGGACGATCCTCTCGCTGTCCGGCCCGATCGTATTCGAGGCCCGGTGCAACGGCGCCATCCCCCGCTCGTCCCACTTGATGGGATCCGCCCCGCCTTCCAGCAGGGTCTCCACGACGTCCGAATCGCCCCTCCGGGCCGCGACGATCAGCGGCGTGAGCCCCTCATGGGATCTGATATCGGGGCCCGCCCCGGCGACCAGCAGCGCCCGCACAACATCCACGTGCCCGCCCGCCGTGGCCGCGAACAGCGGAGTCTCCAGGCTGCCCGCCTTCTCCTCATTCAAGTCCGCCCGCCCGCCAATCAACTCCATCACGACATCCAAGTGGCCGCGCTGAGCGGCCTCATACAGCGCCGTCGTGCCGTTCGTCCTCGATTTCAGTTCGAGGTCAGCGCCTTTAACGATCAACGCCGCCACGACCGCCGCGCGCCTAGGGCTGGTGGAGTGCGTGGCGGCGATCAGCGCCGTGGCGCCATCATGATCCCTGCGGCCGTCCACGTCCAACCCCTCGCTGTCCAAGAGCACGACCACAGCCTCCAGGTGGGCGTACGTGGCTGCGCACACGATCGGCGGGCAGTAGCTATCCTTGTTGGGGTCCGCCCCCGCATCCAGCAGGACGGACACCACGTCGGCGTGGCCCTCCCATGAGGCGGCCATCAGGGGCGTGGTGCCCGTATTCTGCTCGAGGTTCACGTCCGCGCCGGCCCGGATGAGCGATTGCACTACCTCCACATAGCCGCTCCTGGACGCGGCCAGCAGTGGCGTTATTCCGGAGGTCTTGGGCTTGTCGACCTTCGCGTCCGCCCGCAGGAGGGCCAGCACCACGCCGGCGTGGTTCTTCTCCGCCGCGGCGCAAAGCGGCGTGGCGCCATCATCTCTGGTGCTGTCCACGTCCGCCCCGGCCGCGATCAGCGTCTCCACCACGTCCAAGTAGCCGTTCTTGGCGGCCAGGGTCAGCGGCGTGTCGTGGTGGTGGCCCAGCTTCACCTCCAGGTCGGCGCCCTCGGCGATGGCCAGCTCCACCTGGGCTTTGTGGTCGTTGAGGACGGCGTACCAGAGCGTCTGCGAGGGGGGAACAGGACCTTGAGGCCCGTCGGAACGAAAGTCGGATCCAGGCCCGGGAGCGACGAGGCTGTATGGGGTTGGAACAGCACTCGTCGCGCAAGACGTCGCAGACGTCGCTGCCGTCGGCGAGCGGAGGCGGGAATGGAGCGAACATCGGGCGGAGGGGGGAACGACGACAACAGCCCGCCAGCTGAAATGCACATTCCATTTTATGCAGTGATGACCAATGTTACCGATGCATATATTTTACCAACATTGATAGATACGCAATCATCGATTACCGATATATTAATAACTCAAATATTGCTGCAACAGTGTTTCACACTTTATAAGCTATATGCTATAACAACTTCAGTAATGCTTAATTACTTCAGCTACTATAATAACTACTTTACCTTTAGCTTCAGCAATACTTCATACATTATAATTTATACTTACTTACTTCTCCATCATTTACATTGCTACAATAGTGACTGATTGATCATTTTTCATTGCGTGTTTTCTAGTTACAACGCGAAAATGTTGCTCAGCAATATAGTGACTGCATGGTCATTTCCTGTCAGGTCTTTTGAACTCGATTATCTGGCCACCCAGGATGCTTCCCAGGCAGGTTGAAAGGTCAGCAAAGGGAGCTGATTCATACCTCCGATGGGTCGTCCTCATTGTAAACTGCACAAGCACACAGCGGCAATGGCTTAAGTACAAGAGTACACAAGTATTCTTCTTGTGGAGGGTTGAGCAGCGTGAAATACAGGGCAGCAGCATCTTCGCTCAGTGGCAGTTGCTGGCATGCCACCAGCACCTTCCTATCCACTTGCTGAGAATCCATGGCTGCAACCGTGACCTTGCAATATTGCGCCACAGTGGGGGTCATGACAAGAAACTATTTTCGGCCACGTCTACTCTATTTGCAAAGAAGAGCAGTTCGTCCCTCTGCATTCCTCCACAGTCACCACAATGTTCACAGCAGCGAGTGGCTCTGTGCTGCATTGATGTGAATCGTTGATGATGTTCACAACGGCTGCCACTGCCCCATAAATAGCAGTCAAGTACGCACACATTGTTAAGTAGGGCTGCTGTCTGCTATTCAAAACTGTGAAGCAGTTCATGCACACCAGGAACGATGCAGACAGTGAGCAACAACTGCCCTTGGTCCTTTTTATTGCATTCTAAAAGTGTTGCAGACAAATGCAGTGCCTGCAATTGCATGCTCTGATTTGCGATGGCCCATGCCCATAAATGCAGTGGATGTTCATGCGATCTATGGCTCGTTACACTTTCTCTACCAGCTACTGCCCTTGGGTCATCAAGTCAGAGAGAAGCACTCTCGGTCCCCCATTGTGAAACCATTATTCGACGGGAGCTATTCACATATATGCGTATATGGGCATATACCCTATCCACCATGGATTCAGTCCATTGGATTCAGTGCTCATGTCCAATACCGGTTCTGCAACAGCTGTGGCACGGCCCTGTGCAGTCCCATTCGCACGGCACACTGAAAACACGCAAGCTGCAGTCGGCATTGCCCGGCTTGTTGCCCCGATGACTGATGCGGCGAATGGGCCGCCCTGCTTGGCAGCGAAGCACAGATTGTGCACAACCCACAGTCTCATCTATGCAACAGCGCGTCTCCCGCATTCTACCACTGACCAGACGCGGTGATACTGTTGAACACGCGCGGGCGCTACAGCGCATGATTTTCGCAAGCCATTGTCCATACGACATCGGCTGGGCCTGCGCTGAGGTTGTAGGCTCTACAGAACCTACTTCCGGCCCCCGGTCGCGAGAAATTTGAAGGCCCCGTACGGGAAAGAATGAGCGCTTCTAACCAGCGCCACGTAACCGCCGATCCGCGCACATGACGCCGGAACGTGGCACTCCCGGTGCGGCCCTCAGTACTTGCCGACCCTCCCCTCTACCCAATCTCCTCCTTCCTTCTCATGTAATGGTCGACCAATCGATCGATCGAAAACAGCACACCACAGCGACCGGCGGGTGCAAAGCACGGGGGGTGTGACTGCTGCGAGTTGGTCATCGAGATCCGGGGGGGTGGGGGGGCAGCCGGTCAGGATGACTAAGTTGCCGGCGAGCACAACACCCCTCCCCCCTCGTCCCCAGGTGCGCCGGATCACGCTGGCGGCACGCACGGACCCGAACACGGCGGCAGGAAGCTCGCAGCGTTTGGCTCCCGGCGCGCCGAGCCGGGCCCCGGGGGCCCCGCGAAGGCATCAGAATCGACGGACCGCGCTCTGCAATTCCTGCCGTCTGCACCATGACGTTCCCACTCACCCTTCGGCCCGTCGATCGTCGCCGCAGCCCGGCCGACCAGCAGCAGCAGGATCAGCCCCCGCCGCCATCCCCACAGCGACGCCTGGGGCGCAGAAAATGCGGTCAGAAAATGACGTTGGCGACCGGGGAAGGGGTGGGTGGGGGGCGGGGCGCGCGGATGCTGACCTGGGCGGCCCGCAGGCTCTGCCGTGGCATGCCCCGGAAGAGGTTGCCCCAATCCTCGGCGCCGCAACTTGCTCCCTTTTGCCTTGGCTAAATTTTGAGCCCCCTTAAGCCCCGTGGCCCCCAGCCTTCGGCGGCCCTTACGCGGAGTGGTGGCGGGAGAGGGTGCTGGCCTGCACAATGCGGCCCTGGGCCGCGCCAGGGAGTCACATTCTGGCGCCTGATCCGGCTGATGTGGTGAGCGGGGGGTAGGGGGACATCGGACAAGGAGTCATCACGGATGGGCATCTGGCGCCTCGGTGCGCCCCGTTGCAGCTATTCGGGGTGGCGGGCGCCCGTCAGCGAGGGCGCCGGGCTCAGGGCTTGCGAAGGAGTCGATTTGCGGGCGCGAGCGGATGGGGGTGGGCGGCGAGGGCGGTGGCGAAGCTTTCCTGGCCTTGGCTCGCGGTTGAATTTGGGCGTCTTGGGGGTGACGCCGTGGATTGCGTGACGCGGGCTGCGCAGCGTGGCTCGTTTTGCGCGTGCGAGTCGCGGCTGCGGGGTCGCGGAGGCCTGGAGGAGGGTGCCGCAAAGCGGCGGCGGAGCGAAGTCGTAATTTCTAGCCCAGGGGCGCGTGCGGGTTGAGATCTGGCGACGGTCGAGTTTGACCGGCGGCTGGCGATGTCCCCCGCGCGCTTGATGCTCTGGCGCGGACGGCGGATGCCGGCTCCGCGGGTGGCGACGGCGCCGCGCCATCGCGCTGCGGTGGACCCCGACAGCTGCGAGGCAACCGGCGCACCGTGGCCGGCGGGAACCTGGCTCACGTGAGGATCGGCGCTTTGCGTCCCAAGCACGTGTGGGCGCATCATGGAGGGCATCTCCGCCTGCACGTTTCGTGAGGATGAATGGCCGGGCGCGGGCGTTCCCCCCTGGCCCGGTCGGCGGCTCTCTTGTCCAGATCTCCTGGCCGCCCTGGCTGCCATCGTTCAACGCCGGAGCTTGCGGCCCCTCTGTGGCCTTCCGCTTCGATTCGCGCTTGCCATCTCGGCGCAGGACAGTTCCGTTGCGGCTGCCCCGTCGCGAGCTGCGCCTGCCGCGATGGGCGAATTGTGTTCGCTGCCCAGTGGCGCCGCCCGATGGAAGCGCGGGGGGCGGCGACCACAGCGGAGTGTCGTACGGAAGAGACCCGGGATGGCGTGTTGCCTCTGAGCCTGAGTTTCTGAGGGAGCCCCACCGGGGGGTCGCTCCGTGTGTTGTGCGCGGATGCCGGGACCGCTCCCGCCCTGGCGCTTGCACCCAAGTGTGCTTTGCTCCGCGTCTGTGCAGAGAACCGCGTGGCGCAACCCCGTCACAAGATTGGCCCGCACGTCGCATGTTTGGAGTGGGCACCCACATTGACAGGCGTCACTCCAGACTTCGTGTCATGCTTCGCGCAAAGATGCGGTCGTCTCCGGATACATGACGAGACGTGAGAAACAGTGGGCGTTGGCCAGTGAGGAAACAAGTACGGTGTTCTCGTGGGCATGTGTTTGCTGAGGACCGCGTGGCAGCTGGAGTGCACGGACGGCCCGAGAGCGCACACCCGCGCTGCAGGCCCGTGACAGCCTTGCGAACAAGTGTCGGTAGCAGTCCTTTTCCCAATCCTTGTACGTGGAAGCCCCAATATGGCGAGGGGTGATCGGTTGCGCAGACAAGGTGCCAGAAACATACAGTTCACAGGCCCTTGTGCTGATTGGGCTCGTATCCCTCAGCCAAGATTACCCACACTCATGCGGCCAAGGAATGTGCATGGAATAGCTCTTCCTCCAGGAAGTTTCGCTAACGAGTGAGGAACTTGTCGTGCAGTTTGCCCCCACTTGAATGAGAATTTTGTCGGTCTCTTCTCAGACTCTTCTGTAGCACAGAAGATGATGTACACATGTGCAGAAGATGTTCGTAACAATGTACAAAAGGTGTATCACAAATGTACATAAGGCGTACAACAAATGTACACAAGGTGTACAAACCCTTGGCAGCAGCTGGAAATCACATGATGCTGAGGAGCACATGGTTTACAAGCTGTAAGTGGCCTCCCTGCCAGTGCAAACAGGTTGGGGAATCTGGGGTGTGCATCTATGCTCATGCTTACCAGTCCACAGAGCCACTACCTTTACTCCCTTGCGCCAGCCCGAATGGTAGCAGACCACTCTCATTGTCTGTGGATTGGTAGGATTAAGAAACTATGGGCGTTCCAGGTATGAGGCTTGGGGGATTTGGGGGTGCTTCAGTTATTCCCAGAGTTTTGTGATCCATGAGCTTCCCTTGCCTCATTAGTCTACCCACAGGCTCATTCTGGTGAACCAAGTACTGCACATGGGTGTGGACTTGTTTCACCGTTGTCTCAGCCGTTGTGTCCATGTGTGTGTTATTTGACCACATCACTCTGGCGAGGTGTGGCAGGTGGACTCCTGAAAGTGGTGCACTATTTGGAATCACAAACAAGGAGGCTAGATTCTTAAGACTTTGACGGCTTGACTCAAAGGGAAGCTCACTGCCAGGGCTTGCACAAGTGAGCTTTTATTGCAGGCACCTTTACAGTGCAAAGGCACTCCTGCTGCATTTTCAGGCGATGCTGGGTGCAGGAGTCACTGCTTGAGTACGTAGGCTTGTTTGATTGTGCCCTGTACATACATGGGCAATGACGCATCAGGAAGAGCCAGCCCACCACCCCTGCCACTGGTGCCTGGCACCCTTGCTGAAGCTTGGCTGGTGCATCACCAGCAGGAGGACACCGTTGCCACAGTTCAACAGGCAGGCCATCACACCTATGGAGGCATCGCTGCTTATGCAAGTGTCCACCAATTTTGACGTCAAGGGTAGTTTTACTCTGATTTCGTCCATATCGCGTACTCAGTGGACTTCCAGGCAGTGTTGTGGAATTTGTCTAAGGAGTGAGCAGGACACATCAAGCCACATGGCGGGCAGCAAAAGCGCTGGTAAGAAGCGATGCCACTGAGCCAAGGGTGGCTTTGCCTGGGGATGCCACGGCCAGCAAGCGGAGCAATTTGAGCACACAAGGGACAGGGCGAACTTGGCAGGCTGACAGAAATCGGCTTTCGCCGGTCCTCTTTGAATTCAACCGATGCCAGGCTGCCCACGGGCCATGTCTGTCGAGCTTGTCTAAACGCGGCTTGGGGCAGGGCTGACGGTAGGGCGGCTGCATGGGTTCCCCTGCAACCAGCATCCGTTGCTTCCCCTCCCCATGCATTCACTTGCTACATTGCCTGATGTTCCTGGGGTCAGTGCGCGTGCCGAGCAGTAACTGCCTCAGTTTGGTTGTTTCCCAGCCGATCGACTTCCTCAGGCACCTCAAGGCGTTGCCACTGGATGCCCCCAGGAGCTTTGCAATGCCCCAAAATTGCATCTCCAGTATCCGTTTTGAGCCCATCCCTTTAATCTCCC